GGGGTATTTGGAGAGACACAGAAGAGCAGAGCAGGGCTGTCCTTGGAGAGCTCTGCTGGCTGCATGGCTCCTGCACCCTCTGCAGTCTGCAGGGATTGCTTGAGAGAAGGACCTGTTTGGCCAATGGCACCCCATGAGCACCTTGGCTTTCCTACCCCCCAGTACATCCACGATGGTTGTCATGCTGTGAGAAATGAGTGACTTTGTACAGAGGAGCATTGGAAGGAGGGAGGGGACAACGGAATGTGTAGGGTTTGTATTACTGTCACCTTCTTCTTCTCAACAGGGAGGGGTTGCTGCGATGAGTTTCATGTCACTTTTTATGGTACATTTTTCTTCTTTTAAGATGGCAGATCTCCATGCTTTACCTAGGGCGTGCTGCTCCCAGAACCCAAACTCATGCCAGTAGAAGTCATCCATGAAGTTGGTATTTGTAGACTTAGCCCTGCCTGACTTTGACTTGGAGTGTTGCAAACCAGATTTTATTCCTGTGTCCGTATTTCTGTATTTGCACTACATCCACGAGACGGTACGACGAGCTCCAGCAAATAACCCCACTTATTTTTGGGGAATGTTTTTTAGTAGTCTAAACCTTTCTAAAACCTTAAAGCTCCATAAGCAGCTTAAACCAATCTAAAGCCTTAGATCATTTTAAACAGCTTGTGCCAATAGAAGGACTTGGATTATCTTAAATGCCTTAAAGAGATCTAAAGCTTTTAGTGAAAGATTTGGCCAGTCTTGGATTTGCTTGGTTGTTTGATTGGATTTCATGGGCATGTTGGTCATCACTGGGTCACTGCCCAACCGCTGCTGGGGAAGACACCCTGATTTTCTCTATCTTATGATGTTGGGTATTTGAGGGGCTGACATTTGAACACAGAAGTAAATCCCAAATCTTTAACCTTAACTCTGCCCTCAAGTGAAGATCATCTGTAACTTCTGTATGCTGTCCCAGGTTCGTTTGGCTAAATATATATCTAACTTGAGAGAGAAAATACGTTCTATTACACCAATTAAGGATTTTCAAAGAATTGTGGTGGCCTGAATTGTCCTTTGCAGTTTAGATTCTTATCGCTTGCTCACAGAACTTTGAAAATCTGATCTTAAGACTTGGCGGCTTAATTAAAGGCCTTTAAAAATGTACATAAATGAAGGAATGAGTCCAGACCGTGACTTCAGTTAATTTGGACGTTCTCTAATTATTGCTTGCTTTGTGCTACAGCATCATCACAGTGTGAACGTAGGATCTAACACTTCCTTCACTTTGCAAGGGGAAATCATAAGTAATTCAGGCTCAGAGTTGGGGGGCTCTTCCTTTTGTGCTTTATCTTATTTTTGTAATTTAAATGAGATGGATTTTTCCTTGCGTGTCAACCAGCCTTTAAAGGCTGAGTTATTTGATTTCCCTTTGAGCGCAGTGGCACCAAAGCTTTTTTTTTTTTAACTCCCATTGACAGGTGGAGTAGCATCCTCAGGAATTATTTCATTAGAAGATACATCAATAATAGTACCAGATACACATGAAGACAGCATCAGAGCAGAAATTTTCTGCTCAAACGCCTTAACCAAGAGAAGGAGCTGATGCACTTCTTATGCTGAGTGCTTGGACGTGGAGTTGGGTCCTGATGAGCTGTGCCTTGTGCACTGTCTGCCTGCAGTCCCTGCTATATGCAAACAAAGCAGTTTTGTGCAGATCTGATGTGGGGCAGCATTTTAGATCTTTCCTGTGTTATAACTGCTTTAAGTCGTAAGAAAGCTAAGAACAAGTTTTGGTTTCAATTTTAGATACGGCTGTTTTCTCAGGTTTAAGTGTTGGTCTGCTAACAGGTTGTTCACAGTGAGGCTGCTAAAAAGTTCCAATCTCCTGCATTTTATTCACTTGACTTATTAATGCATTTATTCATAGAAATGAGGAGTGCTTGTTGGAAGGCGAACTGCTTTTCCTTTCAACTTGCCACATGGAATTCTTTTGCAGATGGTATCATTCCTACTTCATACTTAGAGCAAGAAGCATGACTGCTAGCTCAGCACCTGAGAATATCTGGTGGAAAATTCTGGGATTTTACACTCAATAACACTTATTTTTTAAGTAAATTACCAAAAAAAATAAAAAACCCAACCCAATCTCTACTGTAAAATGCATCCATAAATTCCAGGGCTGTGCTCAGTGCTGGAGTCTCACTGTGGCTCAGGCAGCTTGCCCTGGTCCTGCTCTCTGCTACGTGATAAATAAAGTTCCTTTCCTTCCTTAGAATATCTGACCCAGGGAGTTCAGGATGAAGTTTGTTAGAAATGTAAACAGGCTGCAGCTGGGTAAACCGCTGCTGAATCAGGGCAGGGAGCAGAGCAGCCTTTTAAATCTGGTTCTGTTTTTCCCCACCACTGACCTGGTGATGGGGACTGGGTCTGCTTCTGTCACCAACCTGCAGTGCTGTGGACCTTTGTACCCCTCGTGTCTGCTTGGGTGAAACAGGGTGAACTGGAGCTCTTGGGTTTCCTCTTGTCTATCAGGACCAAGTGCTGGTTTGGAGCTGGTGGAAAAGCTGTGAAGCTCCTGCTTCCCTCTCCATGGCAGCTTGGTGCAGTTACTTTTATTCACCTAGCTTACCCCCTTTTACTTTTTTTTTCTGCTTTAACTCCTTTGCTCCAAGCTCTTGAGCACTCTCAGCTCTGCTCGCCTCTGCCTGGAAGCTTAAAACAAAACCAAAGCAGCCACTGCAGAAATTCCCTATTGCATCCTCTTGCTCTGAACTACCTGTCCCGTATTCTGTGCCATTCACAGCTATAAGATAGAATGATTCCTAGTGCTGTTTACTAGTAGAAAAACAAAAGAAAGGTCTCTTCGCCTCTTCTTCTCCCTTGGATGTTTTCTGTCCCCTCCCAGTTATGGGTCAGGCACCCATGTGCTCTAGTTGCAGAGAGCTACTGAACACAAAGCAATCCTATGGGTTTTGCATGATGCTGCAGATAGGAATTGCCATCAAGCAGTGCTAAAGCAATAGTTAAACAGGTTTGATACAAACTGTGGTGAGGCTTCTGTGGCTGTTTTATTGAAACATCTACGGCTGGTGTGTGTCACCCCAGAGCAGCCTGTGTGCTCCCACTTTGCTTTGAGGCCAGGTGAGAGCCTAAAAGTGGAACTGAATGCAGATGGACTGGGGTTGGTACAAGCATTGCTCACTTCTGCCCTAGCCCTTATGGGATGCAGAGAATAGTTTGAGGTATAGAGGGCTGTAGCAGAGAGCCCTGCTGCAAGCTGGAAGGTCCCCAGGTCTCAGTTTGCTCCCACATGCAAACTGCAACAGCACAAACAAGTTGGTGATAATCCACCCAGCAATCTGGCATCTTCCTTGGAAAGGGCCCTGATTTCAGAATGTATCGCTGTCCAGAACAGTGTTCAAGCATGTGCCTGCCTGTAAGCATGAATTTAATTGCCATCCTGCAGAATGTTGTGCTTAATCATCTTCCTTGGTGCTTCTTCTGACTCAGGGCTGCTGTTGGCATCCTATAGGGTGCACCACAGTGGGAAGAGCTGCCAGGGCTGCATATGTCTCATGTGCATGGCTGGGTGTTGCTGAGGAAATGTGTGGTGGGGAAGGGAGCTTGAGGTTCTCTGGTAAAGAAAACAGCTCTTAATTAATTGGATGAATAGGGTGAGTTGCTAAAACACACGGTGTTTGTGGCAGCAAAGGGTTTGTAAGGACAGGAGTTTGGGTTGTGGATAAATGAACCTTTGCAGCTCTCAGCAGCTTGCTGGAACTCCTCATCCTTGCTCCCTTGGGACACAGTCAGCAGCTCGGAGCTTCTTCCAGACTTCCTAGAAAGCCCAGAGGTTCCCCACATCTGCGTGCCCAGGTGCAGGGAGCAGTGTGCATGAGTAAGGGTGTGTGTTTGGGAGCATCGTGGGAGATGCAGAGCTGGGGACTTGCACCTGCTGGGCTGCTGACCACAGAAATCTGTGCACAGCAGTGACCTGTAACAGATTTCCGCCACTGGTTTCAGCATCCTTTTCTCCATATTGATGCCTGGGGACTTGCGTGGTCGGTGCCACAGGACACCTGCTGCAGGGGAGAGGTTAGGAAGGTTCCTCACAGTGTGAGTTGGTGCTGATTCCTGAGCACAGCAGCTGCCCTACCAACTACTTGTGGGGATGTTTCCTCATGATGTCTCCAAGCCTCAGTACGAGTCACTGCACCCCTCTCATTCTCTGGGATCATAGAATGGTTTGAGCTGGAAGGTGCCTTTAATGGCCATCTGGTCCAAATCACAGCAGTGAGCAGGGACACCCATCAGTGCTCAGAGTCCCTCCAGCCTCACCTTGGGTGTTTGCAGGGATGGGCACCACCACCCCTCTGGGTGTTGAGCTGTAGAGAGCAAGCAGAGCTAACATGATCCCAGTGTTACTGGGGATCTTGTTACTGGGCCAGAGATGAAGATGAGTGAGTGGACATGAATTAATGTAAGGTTTGGGCATGTCAGGAATTTAGGTGGAGTTTTTTTTTTTTTTTTTTTTTATGCAGGGAGATTGGTCTGAACCACATTGCAGTGGGAACTTTTAATATAAATTATTTCTTAAAAGCACTTGGACATAAGGACAAACTTGAAGATTATGGCTGATTGCTTTAAAAAGCAAAATCACTCAATCTGCATTTGACATCAAGGGAAAGAGCATTACCTGCACATATAACCTGGAATGGAGTAGGCTTGGGGAGTGAGTGAGCATCTGCAGTCTTGCTGTCAGATGCTCTCCTTTCCCTATGTGATGCTCTTAATGCTTTCCAGCTGGGCTGGACTTATCCACTCAGAAGGATCCGAGTCTTTAAAAGCCCTAAGGAGAAGACCATTGGTGCTCTCCAAATGGAGAGCTGAGGCCCATAGGTAGAATCATTAAGATTGGAAAATACCTCTAAGATCCCCCAGTCCATCCCCAGCCCACCCCACCATGCCCACTGACCACATCCCTCAGTTCTGGAACACCTCCAGAGATTGTGACCCCACAACTCCCTGTGCAGCTGTGCCAATGCATCGCTGCTCTTTGGGAGAAGAAATTCTTCCTGATATCCAACCTGATGGAAGGACAGCAGCTGGAGGCTGTGTACGCAGGCTGACTGCACACCCCAGATTTGCAATCAGGTATTTTAACCCAGAGATGCCCTTAACCTGTCCATGGAGGCAGGGCAACGTGTTGTCCTCCAAGATCTGCTGTGATCCCTCTCACCTTCTTTGCTGTCAGTCTATAATGAAAATTTAATGCTGCTGTTCTGCAGGAGAACTGTAGTGTAGGAGTAACTCCTGTATGTGAAACAAAACGATGTTGTGGCTTTTGGTACAGTGGAAAGGGCACTTCTTTCCCCTGCTGCTGTCTTTGTAGGTATGTCCCTAAGGAAATTATGCAATCTTTTTATTATTGACCACGTAACTCAGGGCAGAGTGACATTATTTGTCTGTAATACAACACCAGAGGAGCTGCACTGCTCTCTCTAATTTTCCAATAAGCAAATGAAGCCACATGCAGTGCTTCACTAAACCCTTTCCTCTTCAGCTTCCCACACACGCACGGTGCCTGCGTTCCTTCCATTAAGTAATTAAGTGAAGTTTCATGACCAAAGCTCTCTCCTCCGATGGGTGACTGTGAGATTGCTTCACTTGCAGGGAGAATCCGTTCCCCTGGGGCAGCGAGTGGAGTGGGCTCAGTGGGTTCAGTGCCAGCGAGCTCTGGCTGAACAAAATGGAGATGTCCTTTGGTGCCAGCTCTGTGTGCACATTAGAGCACGTCTGAGAAGAGTCAGAGTGAAAGCACAATATCTATTTCTGTATTTTCAGTGCTAGATGGAACTTATAGTGCTCTGGAGCATGCATAGACATCCGTGTTGTTGTAGGACCTACCAAGCAGTGGTGCCTGGAGGCCTGAGCAGATCCATGGCATCACAGCCCATCCAGGTAACTTCCTGGTCATGGGCAACTCCTTGGTCATAGGCAATTCTTTGGTTATGGGCAGCTCCTTTGTTGTTGGCAGCTCTTTGGTCATGGACAACTCTTTGGTCATGGGCATCTCCTTGGTCACAGGCAACTCTTTGGTCATGGGGCAGCACTTTGGTGTTGGGCACTTCGTTGGGCATCTCCTTGGTTGTAGGCAACTCCTTGGCCATGGGCAGCTCTTTGCTCACAGAAGATGAAACCAGGAGCTGCAATGGTTAGAAAGGAGAAACAAACAGGAAGCCATAAGGCTTGCACTGTAACAGAAATACAGTGGGCACTGTGTTTTGTCACTGAGAATTGTGAGATATTCAAGTGATAAATGAGAGATTAGGGTAAAAAATTCTTCAGTCTTACAGCATTGAAATAGAGGGGTTATAAGCAGGAGGCATCCTTGTCCCACATTTTGGCTGCAGCATCCCTGGGAAGTTTAACAAGTGCCAGGAAAGCCATGCAGGATGCTTAGGGAAAAACTGGCTGTGCAGAGGGGTAGGACAGGTGGAAGAATATTGTCCTCTGCGGAAAGAAAAAGGGAAAGTAGCAGATAAAGGCCAGTGTGATTTGCCAGGAAAGTTTCTAAAGAATGGAACAGTCAAAAATTCCATTTCCTGGAAACAGAATCTTCTGACTAAAAGATTTTGCCCTTTCTGCTGAGTAGGCTGTGTTAGTATGCTCACAGGCATACTTTTAAGTTGAATATTTATTACTGTGCTGTAGAAAACTTATCATAGTTTCTGGACAACTCTCTCCTAAACCCCTAAGCAGTTAGTGCTTGTTTTTCCATCCTTTCCAGCACATCATCTCATGTAACACTGAACACTGCTGCCTGTTCTTACAAATGCTACAGCATTCCTGGGATTTTCAGAAGCGTTGGGTTTCTGCTGTTGTGATGCTGATTGCCAGGGGAATAATTAGACTGGATTTAAAAAAAAAAAAAAAAAAAAAAGGATGTTTTTTGGATTTTGAATTTTGGATGTCAAGGGGAAGTTCTTTGCTATGAGAGTGGTGAGGAGCTGGAACAGCTGCCCAGAGAGGCTGTGGATGCCCCGTCCATGGAGGTGCTCAAGGCCAGGTTGGATGGAGCTCTGGGCAGCCTGGGCTGGTGTTAAATGTGGATTTTGGTGGCCCTGCATGCATCAGGAGGGTTGAAGCTTCATGATCCTTGAGGTCCCTTCCAACCCTGGCCATTCTGTGATTCTATAATGATTCTGTGATCTTTTAAATAACTGTCCATGGGTGTTATTTTCCATCACATTGTGCTTTTGCTGGTTCTGCAGCTGTGGCAGGCAGAGCAGAATGACACATAAATTTCTGTGCTATTTCTTCCCAAAGTGCAAGGCTGGAAGACAGGAAAGCTAAAACTTATTTCTCTAGATAACATCCAGCAAGTTCCCTGTATTTGGTGGTACTCTGTGCTCCAAGGAAATCACGCACTGGATTATTGCAGGGAAAAGTCAAATTGCTGAAGAAACCATCGCAGCTGCATTCAAACCTTGCAAAGGTGCATCACCTTAAATGCAATTGCTCATCCATCCTGCACTTACCACGAGTGTGTGCTCCTGGAGGGAGGAGTGGCCTCCCCAAAGGATGGTTACTGAAGGGTGCATCTGGAAAGAGCAGCCTGCAAGGTGCAGGAGCGTGATAGCAATTAGGAGCTTACATGCATGCAAATGCAGAGCAGTGGTTCGCCTGCAGCCTGCACTGCCTTCTCCTGCCGGTGGGCATGGAGCTCCTTCTTGGCAAAGTACGTCTTGAGCATCTGCAGGACTAATAAGCTAGAAAACAGGCCCTGGGGAAAACCCCTTTCCCTCCCCCTTTCCTTTCTCGCTTTTCTTTTTTGTTAATTTATTTTATTATTATTATTTTTTTCATTGCAGAGAGCAGAGATTTGCAAGACAAAAGCGTTTGCTTTGCATTGTGCATTTTGTTTTGTGTCTGTGGCTGTGTGGAAACACACCTGCCATTTTACTGCTTCCTGCAGCAGATGCAAATAGAGCATCCTCAGGAAAATGTTACATCCCTTAAAATAAACTCTGCTGCTCAGCAGCGCGTGTTGCCTCTGGTTTCGTGCTGGAATGCGTCTGCAAAAACAGAAAGCCACAGGGTAAAAATACAATTGCCCACCAGTAATAAAGAGGAGTTCCTGTGAAAGCTGCACTCGGCCTTCTATCATTTACAAAGTTTGAGTGTGGAAATGTTCGGGGCAGGTGGGTTTTTGGGTTTTTCCTCCATCTCCTTCCTTCTTCCTCCCCCTCCTGTTCTGCTCTGGGGGCCCTGGCCTGGCTCTGTGCCTGCAGCCTGGGCTGCTTTGGGATTGCTCTGAGTCTGCTGTGCAGTGGACAGAAGCCTCTCTGGCTGCCTGGGGTGGCACTGCCTTACTGTGCATGTATCTTTTCCCTTTCTTCCAGCTCCTTTGCTGTCATACAGAAAGCCCAAACAGGAAAAGGTTAATAGGAGAAAAGTCAAACAGAGCTGAATAGGTCAGAATTTGTCTTGCTTTTGGTTTCCTCGCCCCAGAGCAAGCCTGTGTCTGGCACATAGAGACCTTGAAACCTGCCTGATGGAGTTTCATTCTTGGTTGATCACATTGCCCTTGAAAGAAACTGTGTTCTGTTCTGCAGGAAAACAGAAAGATGGAGGAGAAGCAAATCCTTCATGCAGCTGCTGCACCCATGCAGCTACCTGAGCTCAGAGTGTGCAGTTCTGCACATCCCATCTGCAGAGGTCTCCAAGCATCAGCTGCTGGGCAGGAGCACAGCAAGGCTTGCTTTTCTTCTCTGGTGGCTGCTCGTGAGGTTTTGCTGCTGCTCAGGCTGCCTGGAGCTCTGGTTTGCAGGATGCAGGTGCAAGGAGGGGTGTGCGGATGCTTGGGGTTTCTCACCTGAAAAAGGAGTGGTTGAGTCATTGCGGAAGCTTTGCTATCTGTAAAATCATAGATAGGGGTTGCTACCAGCACTGATTCAAGACAGAAAGCTGATAAAGCAGGCAAAACCTACCTGGAGGTCTCTGTGGGTGTCTGAAGACATTGTCTGGAATCAGTTTTGATTTTAGTCAAAATAACATCTGGTGATCAAGCGATGTTATGGGGGAAGATGGATGTGCATGGGGATGAGGGTGAAGCATAGATGTTTCTTCAAGGGGTGGGTGAGGTCTGGTGGCCAGGGTGGCAATGGCTGAGGGGGAGGACAGGGGTGGGTGTGCAGCAGTCCCATAACCTTGGGTTCCATGGAGTAACCTTGGGTTCCATGGAGCTGGAGCTTACAAGAGGCTCTGGGTGGGGTAGCACCAGGAAGGAGGTGTTAGGGGAAGCTTGGTACAGTGAGTAGAACAACCACAGTGTATGGGAAAAACTGGCTTCAAGAGACTGCTGACTGTTGATGGGCAATCTGCTGCAGGGCTCCAGTTTTTGGAAGCACCAGCAGGGCGGTGTCAAGCCAGGATTGCATGGAAGCACATGGGATGGATCAGAGCCGCTCCCTGGGCACGCAGGTGTGGCTGTCACAGCCCCTGCTCTCACAGTGTTTGTCTTGGCTCGGGAGCATAGCAGAGGGGTATGGGACATGCCTGCCCATGCGGACAGGAATTCCCCTCGAGGCTTGCTGGGTTCAGGTGTCTTTTCCCCATAACTGCTGTTGGATCACTACGGTTCGCCCCAGTTCCCCCTTGCTCTGGTTTGGCAGCATCCCTCCCTGCTGGGTCAGTGGCTGTATGAACGGTCCTGCTCCTTTCCACACCCTGGTTGGGTGACGTGGCACAAACTCTGCTCTGTGCTTGGCCTGCTCTGCTTGTTGGTAACCCTGCCCACCACAGGGGAACTGGTACTTGGTGGTCTTTAAGGTCCCTTCCAACCTAAGCCATCCTATGACTGTATGATCTTGGCTCTTTCTTTCACTACATCCCAACAGTGATCCGTTGTGATCCTTTTGGCTGATGGCTTGCAGGAGCAGGAGAGTCCTCTTCCATCCATGTCAACATCCCAAGGAACATGCACATTGATTGCATGGGTGGTGTGCTACACCTGGAAGAATAGTTCAAGCCGTGGCTGACACTTCAGCCATGGTATTTTGTGCCATGAGTACAACCGTCTCCCTTCCTCATAAAGCTCTCCACATCAGGAGCAGCTGAATCTGTTTCCAAATCACATTAACAGCTCTTAA